CATTATTGCTGTAAACAACTGCATGTATCAACAACTGTTTTTCAGCTGACAATTGAACAAACGCAGGAAATAGGATACATAAACAGGAGCACCACTGACAACATAGTATTTAGAAAATTCACTAGTCTTCCAAATCTGTCCAGTCTGTTAGTAACATCATTTAGCTGCTTGGAATTTATGAGTCATGTTATAATGTGTTGCACAGAATCTGCACATCCAAATTCAGTTTTTGCACCTTGCTCAAGGGGGTGCTATTGAGTAATAGGGAAACATCCCCTTCTCCACCAGCTTTTAATAAAGTATAATATTTGTGAAGGCTACCGGAGCAATGATTAGGGGTTCTAATCCAGTTCCCGCCCTCTCCACCCTCTTAATGCCCCTAAAAAAAAGTCATAACTTGTACTTTACAAAGGCTCCTGGTGGACCCAAGCTGTTTGTTTGTTCTCAGTTCCCACCTGAATGATATATTCAGAAGTAGCCTTGCTTATTCCATTTTTCAGTATTTAAAAAAAATACACTGCATACTGACAGATCCATTTGCAAGACATGACTTCTATTTGGCCATCATTTTATAGCTTGTGCATGCAAGTGAGTGTATAGAAACGTGTATGGAAATGATTAGAGGCTGGGTTGATCCCCCTTTTGGCCAGTCCAGCCCTGACTGCCCAAGTTTGCCCTTAGATTTATTGACGCAATGCACTAAGTTCAGGGTGATCTGCATTCATATCTCAATGCAGAACTGAGCCTCAACAGCTAAGTTTACACATCATTAGTTATCCATTGTCATTACTGCATTAAGGGTTTTCAGGAAGGACAGACATTGAGGGAAAGCTGCGAAGTGACATTATTAAAACATTGGATTAGAAATAAATAGAACATAAACCCAAAAGATTTTAACCAGATTTAAATATTTTTAAAATTCAAACTGACCCAAAGCAGAACTTACATTACAAAAGAAGAACAAAATACATCATGATATTGATAACACAAAAAGGTGCATGGAAGCTAGATTTGTGGGCAAATTGTAAATTGCTCTCGTCCCAGTGACATTCTGGGCTCTGGATCAACTTTATTGAGAAGTTAAGATTTGAAATTTCCATATGGTCCACTCTGGTAAACAAACTATATGTTCTCTTTTGCTTCAGGGTGTCTGTATGACAAATTAATCATGCTAGTCCTCTTTGTCCAGATGTGTTCTCTTGTTATTGCCAGCTATAGCCAGAAAACTAAATTCTCCACGCTATCCCAAGGAAGCCAGAGTTATTCCAAGCATGACTGATGATGAATTAAAAAACCAAAACACTCAAAAGCTTTTTAAACTAACAAGTATTGTCTATAATGTAGTAAATAGTTTAGAAATATGGTAATTAAATAATCTAAAAAACCCACTCTTACTCTGCTGTACATTTATAAACATATTTACAAAAATCTTTCTGCTTTGTTTTTAAAGGATGAGGTTTGCAGTTTATTAATGATCAGAATCTTTTGCTTGCCTGTTTCTTTGGTGTATTTGCCAATTTTACTATTATTAAAGATTCAATAAAATGACCACCAATGTATATTAAGGGAATGAAATTAGGATATGTAATACATTT